CGCTCGTTAACCTAGTCATTGTTCTTACATTTCATTTTTCTCGTTAAGTAAAATGCTCGTTTTGCGAGGTGCTCGTAAAGCGAGGTTCTACCGTATTAACGTTGTTTAGTAACAAAATGTATACAAATTTCTTATACTTATAATTGTTGCTTTATGCAATAAATTCTTATTTATTTGCTGCATTTACTAATTATTTTGATTTCTTTTTATTTATTTATTTATTTTATTCTATGAACTAATTAATTTAATGTTCGTTATTACTCATTCCACTTTTTGTACTTTGAATCATCAGTGAAATTCACTGAACGTGTTTTACTTCTCTCGCAAATGCAATTATTCTAATCTGCTAAGTGGATTTAACAACAATTATAAACGCTTGTTCGCCTCTGCATTTTACCGGGAATCTCTTCAATATCCGGTTTCTAAATTAATAACCTGGGGGTCAGCAAGAGTTCTGCAAACAGAAGCCCACGGCCCGTTCATAATGCGACCGCCCACCTCAGCTTTCCTCTTGTATTCCAAGAAATCTGCTGTGTTATTATTAGTAATAGCAATTATTCTTCATTGTAGTACCTCACATAGTGCGAATAATCGGTTCCCCAGGACTATTTGAAACCGCGTGAAAATAAACTGTATAGAACAAACGATTTTGGTACATTATTTTAGAATTTATTTTTATTTTGACAATTAAAATGAAGTTACTATGTCAGGTATTTCTGTATTTGTCTATATAGTTTACGTTTACTGTATTTTTTATAAATTACATGTGAAATAGTAGACAAATATTGGACACTTGTGAAAATTTTCATAATTTACCAACAACAATTTATCTACTATAACTACTACAACAAAAAAAAAACAAGTTACCTATGGAAAACAATTTACACAAAATTAATGGCTTCCTTGATCAATACGAAATTTATGAATGATGTACATTAAAGAATAAAAACACATCAGTTTTGACACAAGGTTTTATGATTAATAAAATACTAGTAGATATACGAAAAGCTTTTCTTGATCTAAATTAATAAAATATATGCGAGCTATTAGAATCACGTTTGAAAGCTTTTAATGATCGAATATAAGATATAAACACATCGAATTGCCTTCACGATTTCCACATCGACAATCTCAATGCGAAATACATACAAACATCATCATCTACAATTTTGTAATTAGTCTGCGACTGTAGTATGTTTAATTACTCATTTTGATGAAATCTAATGCGTTGCAGATTATAATGGACAACGACCTTTGCCCTTCCTCCCGGGATCAGCGCGCATGCAAACTTGAACTTGTAATTACGCCCAGGAATATCATATGATAGTGCAATGAGCGTACAAAGCGCCGCACAGGATAATCACCACGAATCCCCTCGTGTACCTTCTGATCAAGTGCTCCCACTGCTAATTAATAACGAATACGAGCCACACTTTATGATTAATCCGTTCTTTGCAGTCACCTGCATTATTCAACAAGTAGCGTAGTTGTATAAAGCAGCGGTTGCCAAAGTGGTGGTCCGCGAGAAAATTTCGCTGGTCCGCAGAAAAATGTGGAATATACTTACGTTATGTTTTAAGAT